AAATTGTGGGTTTGAACGTATGGATATTCACTTGTAGCTCGAAAACATGACATGCTTATTATTTGAGACCAGGAAGAGAACATGAGAAGGTCAAAACTCCGGTTGCTGCAGGTCGGGAACTAAGCACGATTAAAGAAGGGGCGGAAGACCAGTGTTATTTGTTTATTTTGAATAGGAGGTTACAGAAAGGAAAACTAAAACTCCGAAAACCGGTCCTGTTTTCGACTCCAGGAAGATAATTTATGTAAGTCTGAAAAGCAGTGCCAAGACCATAGCTGCTTCTGGCAGTATACGACAGGAAAAATGGTTATTTTTTAAATAAAACCTAATTCTGAGTCAAGATGAAAATTATTTCCGTAACTTCAACCAAAGCACAAAGAATAACAACGCCAAGACCATATCTGCATATATCGAGTATGTATTGTAGACCTAACGAAAGACGTCACTTAGTATAATTTAACCAAAACTTCGCAATCTCTGAGTATAAACCTGCTAATAAAGATATTTTGCCGAAAGTTTTCTTTAGTTTCTCTCTCTCTCTCTCTCTCTCTCTCTCTCTCTCTCTCTCTCTCTCTCTCTCTCTCTCTCTCTCTCTCTCTCTCTCTCTCTCTCTCTCTCTCTCTCTCTCTCTCTCTCTCTCTCTCTCTCTCTCTCTCTCTCTCTCTCTCTCTCTCTCTCTCTCTCTCTCTCTCTCTCTCTCTCTCTCTCTCTCTCTCTCTCTCTCTCTCTCTCTCTCTCTCTCTCTCTCTCTCTCTCTCTCTCTCTCTCTCTCTCTCTCTCTCTCTCTCCATATTAATCCAGATGCCACGCTCTGAGGAACTACACTCAAATATCAGATGAAAACATTTAATACATACATTGATTTGAGCTGAGCAATGTATCATGTTTTCATTTACTGCTTAAATGACAGAATTATAAACTCTTATTCGTACTGATCTTTTCGAATGTAAATCTTCATATTCATATCTATTATATTACCTCTTTACCTCATCTTATCTGATATCATATCCTGGTGATAATGGCCGAGACGGCTCTTGAAACATCGGTTTTATACGACCACTGTACAGGGCTGATTGCCCTTGAAGGCTTCATTAAATTCAGTATCAGCGAAAGATATAGATCTCAAGTTACTGTTACAAAACAAAATATTTATATTCGCAGAAGAAACTGTCGATCTTTTACTTGTACAGAAGATACACGAAGCAGAAAACTTTTGAATTGTTAATATCAAAGTATAAAGAGGGTAGTAACAAACGCACGAAAGGATATTACAGTCAAAAGAGAGTAACAGAGATGGGAGGACGGTCTCATTAAGTTAATTTTCTTCCATTTCTAGACCTTCTAATTTACTAATTAGTATTTTACATCTCTGGGGCATAACGAGTACCAGTAACTTTCAAGCTTTGATGAGTTTCCCGAAAAGTTTCTGCGACGATGATGGTACACTAACTGAGAGCTTGCTTCTACTTCCTTCCTGTGCATTTCCTTCTTTTGGATTTTCACGAAGTCTGTTTCCTGCCTCCACCATCTCACTACATCTTGTCTCTACGACATTTTACTTTCCGAATCAGGGATGTCAAATATTAAAGGACTTGTTGCTTGTTTTTGTTAATTTTTCACGTCAGTTATTTATTTCCACTGAATGATGTGTCCAAGTTCATACTAAAATGATAAATAAATGAGGTGTTTGAGGACTGGTTAATGAGAAGAATGTTTGGACGTATTAATGTATAAGAAAGATCTCTCTCTCTCTCTCTCTCTCTCTCCATATTAATCCAGATGCCACGCTCTGAGGAACTACACTCAAATATCAGATGAAAACATTTAATACATACATTGATTTGAGCTGAGCAATGTATCATGTTTTCATTTACTGCTTAAATGACAGAATTATAAACTCTTATTCGTACTGATCTTTTCGAATGTAAATCTTCATATTCATATCTATTATATTACCTCTTTACCTCATCTTATCTGATATCATATCCTGGTGATAATGGCCGAGACGGCTCTTGAAACATCGGTTTTATACGACCACTGTACAGGGCTGATTGCCCTTGAAGGCTTCATTAAATTCAGTATCAGCGAAAGATATAGATCTCAAGTTACTGTTACAAAACAAAATATTTATATTCGCAGAAGAAACTGTCGATCTTTTACTTGTACAGAAGATACACGAAGCAGAAAACTTTTGAATTGTTAATATCAAAGTATAAAGAGGGTAGTAACAAACGCACGAAAGGATATTACAGTCAAAAGAGAGTAACAGAGATGGGAGGACGGTCTCATTAAGTTAATTTTCTTCCATTTCTAGACCTTCTAATTTACTAATTAGTATTTTACATCTCTGGGGCATAACGAGTACCAGTAACTTTCAAGCTTTGATGAGTTTCCCGAAAAGTTTCTGCGACGATGATGGTACACTAACTGAGAGCTTGCTTCTACTTCCTTCCTGTGCATTTCCTTCTTTTGGATTTTCACGAAGTCTGTTTCCTGCCTCCACCATCTCACTACATCTTGTCTCTACGACATTTTACTTTCCGAATCAGGGATGTCAAATATTAAAGGACTTGTTGCTTGTTTTTGTTAATTTTTCACGTCAGTTATTTATTTCCACTGAATGATGTGTCCAAGTTCATACTAAAATGATAAATAAATGAGGTGTTTGAGGACTGGTTAATGAGAAGAATGTTTGGACGTATTAATGTATAAGAAAGAAGGAGATGTAAGATTTGAGGTTTTTACAGCGGTGATTATGAAGATTTCTGGGTTGTTGTGGTAGATGTTTACAAACGTTTCAGAGGTCATACTGTCTCCGGCATCAGGGCGATTCATCGCCGAGGCAATATGCCCTCTGAAACGTTTGTAAACATCGACCAGACTACACGGCGCAACAACCCAGAAGACAGAAATCTTCAAATAAAGAGATGGTTTCATTGTGGAGAGAGTAATAGTCTGTACTCTGCACCAAATAGTATTAGGGTGATCAAATCTGGAAGAATGGGGTTTGTCATGGATTGAAATCCTGGATTCAGATGGCGGAGGAATGGGTTGATGCGTTTTGTAGGTAATAAACGTACCTACGAAACCCGATAGAAATTTTTTGTGTTCGTTACAAACTATAAACAAGTTGACAGTGGCAAACTGTGATTTAATATCTGAGCAGTTTTTTGTTAGCTTGCTCTAGTTTAAGTTATACAGAGATATGAACAGCTAAATTACGTATTTATTATGTATAATTTCCTAAAGATTACTTTCTTCTGAGATGTTCCGTGTAGTCTACTACAAATTGACCAGCATGTGTCTTCAGCAGTAGAATTATACTCTTCTTGGGGAGGTATTAGTCGTTTATCTACTAAAGAAATTAATCTGAAGTTTTGAAGTTTCATTGCCACGTCTGCAAGATCCCGCCATTGAGAACTAGTCTCAGCCAGATGTATCCAGTGAACACATTTTTTTTTCTGTTTCTTTGAGATCCATTAGAATAATTTACTCTACCAGGTTTTCCGATTCTTTTCGTTTTTCAGACAAAAATGTTGGATGCATTTCTCATCTACCCCGTACTTGCCACACGATCCTCCCCATTTCAGTCCCTTCTTTTCATAATCGTAATGTTTAAGTTTTCCCTTTTACGGATCGTTCATTCCCCCTATTATTTCATCTCTTATGTTCAGATATTCTTCTCAGTATTTCGTTATCAGACACTGTCAACATATGACCTTTCCTTCGCGTGAAAGACCAGGTTTCTCACACTTATAAATCACAGGTAACTCATGATTTTAACTGCTCAGAAAATGTGATGTGAAATAATTCAGCCAGAATACATGTCGGTAACTCCAACCTTAGACATATTAATCCCTATTTTTAAAATACGTCTCTTCCTTGTTGCACAAAATGAAAATGATTGTTTGATAAAGTTGATTCTGTATTTGTATTTCTATCTGTGCTTCTTATCCTCTGTTATTTTCCCTCTTTCTTCTTCCACTTCAGACATTAATAACGGCATGACCCATTATCACCCGGCGTGTATAATAAGAGAACTTCCCCCTCCCGCAGCCTTAACCGCCATCACCCGGATTCTCCACTTGGATATACGTACAGTAGTGGAGGAGTTAAGATGAATGCATACTTACAGGCGCCCATTTATTTAAACGAAGAACTGGGCGGGAATCCTACTGTTGCCTTACATATTAAAACTAAGCGATGAATTCCCATTTTCGTACAGAAGAAGATAATGATAGTTGCTGGAATCTGGTGGAACAAATTAATCAACTGGAAATAATTCGAGGAAATTAAAGTGTCCAGGTTCTTAATCAAATTCTTTAAAATTATAAACGTAGAATTCAGAAGATTGTTGAATACAAAGTGCCGAAGTTACTACAAGGTGAAGTTTAGGCTTAAATTATTCAGTTTTCGTCAATATAAACTTGAGTGTTTACTTCGGTCAATGTGAAGTCTGAAGTTTCAATTCGCGTTTTCTTCCAATCTGTAAACCCGATAAATCAAACTGCTTCAGTTGTAAGTTACAAATAAATAGGTGTCTGTGAGCCAGAAATCTTAGAGATTTTAGGCAACACGAATTTCCCATCGACTTGATGATTGTATTATACAATTCTCGTTTTGGGACATGTTATTAGTTTATATTGAGGCATATAAAATTGTTTTCATTTAATTATGATATTACATTACAGTGCATTTACTTTAAGTGTTAATGGTGTATGTATTTAATTATATAAATATATGTGTACACTTCTGTTTCAGATTTCTCCTTTTCGAGCTCAGAAGCGCCATCTAATATAAGGCTTACTTTTCGTGTTATTCATTCGCTGTCATGAAAGATTATGATATTTTAGAACTTAAATTAAAGAAAGTAATTCATATTATAAAAATGTTTTGAATGAGAGATAATTCTAGTTTTAAAATAGTAATTCGATAAGTTGTCTTCACAACTGGTTGATTTTTCTTCGTAGCCGCCATCTTTGTTTTGTTCTGTATTGCAGAGTGCATGATGGGGGACGGGAGCAGCAGTGCCATCTTCTGGAAGTAGGAGACAACCATAAACAGCTGAAGGTAACTTCGACTTCCAGGAGATAGCTAGCTCCCCAACCCTTTATGTCCAGTTAACCCTTCATATATACTTGCCCTCTTCAATGTTTTATTATTTTAATTAACCACTAAATCCTCTTTAAATGGATTCAGTTGCTACAGAAAATGGAATCTTCCCTGTGTGATAAAAACATCTCTACACATTTTTAGTCTATCTTCCTGCACCCCCCACCACTTAAGAGTGTCGTTCGTCTTTTAGAAATGTTGTGCGTGATGTAACTAGTAATCCTTTTCGTTGTTCACTTGTTTCTATTCCCTTTTCTTCCCATTACCCAGACCTTATAAAAAAGCTCGTTCGTTGATTGGTTGGTTCGTTCTTTGGGTGTTCGTGTGTTATCAGTTATTGTTGTGTTTTTATCACTGTTTTATATACATATATTTCAAACACAGGATTTCTTTTAGAGTTGTAATTGGGTGTGTTAATTGTGTTGTTTGTTGGGTAAAATCATGTGTTTTATAGTTTTGTTTGTCAACATTGCTTTTGCATATAAAAACTAAGAAGACCCTGTACTCCGATGGGACACGTAGATGACGTCAATTAAAATTATATAAAAACTAATAAACTTCTCATTGGTATCTGATCGCATTTCACCCAAAAACAATAAGCAAGTAATTCTTTATCTGTACATTTTATTAGTTTATTAATTAAGGAACCTACATGCTTCAGAGTGAAGAATTTATTTCCGAAACATATTTAGATTCAAAAGCCAAAGTCATTGGATTACATTTTTGAAATATCGGACGATTTTTCTGGATACAAAATTCGTCGGTTTATGTTCAGAAGTTTTTGTCTAGGCTAATTCCTTAATTATAACACTGAATTTCTAACATTCGTGAAAACGTTTTAGACCTATATATGCGTTTTTCACTATTATGTGCTACGTAAGATATTTAAACAAACTTACAATAATTATTCCCATATAAAACAAAGTATAAAATCAAAAATATTCTGTATAAATGACAAGGTTCAGATTAATTGTATTGTTATGACTCCCACGAAATCTGCAGGGTCTTTTTAAGGTAGGCTGGCTTGATACACGCATTAATAAGACGTAAAGTAATACTGTACGTTTAATATATTAGAGTGATGCACTATTTGGTGGTGATCGCACTCTCTTTTTCCTAAAAAAATCTTTATGTTTGTGGTTATACAGTTTTACATTTGAAATTTAGAAGAGGTGTGTGATTCCAAAAAATGTTACCTAAATGAATGAGTAAGATTTACACATTACTATATAAATCAATATGTAGGCCTGGTTCAAGGTTTCAATGAAAGAATTTTAGTGTACAGGCTTATGAGTGTACTTTGGATAATTGAAATCATACGTAATGTGGAAAGGTTGCTGAAAGTAACATCCATGAAATCATCACGTATTTTCTTAAAATGCTTGTTTAATTCTTTCTTTATTATAAAAATATATTTAATCGTAATATTTCTCTGCGTTAAGAAAGATAAATATATATATAACTGTTTTCTTCAATTTCCACCGTTTCTCAAACTCAAGTCTCTTTATTAGTTGAGCGTCACCGGTTTTACGGTATAGATGTTACGTCTGTCCTGAGCTGTTGTTACTTGGCAACCGTTAATTTAAAATGTGGTCATTATTCGACTCCGTTGTGGTTGATAATTTAACATCGAACAACCGGAATATGTCTTTGGCGCCCGTTGGAAAGGGCTTAGTTCAAATGTAATTGTATCAGCTTCAAGTTTTCTTACTGATAACCGAAGAGGTATTTATAAGAATGTTATAATAAGTAAGCAATTTTATTGTGTCAGTGCAGTTCTTTGTAATAAAAAACAAGTCGAAAATGGACGATGAATTTCATATTATAATTTCAAAAAACTGATTGATCGTTTGAAAATAATTCGTTAAATGCGCCTAAAACTCAACTTCATTTAATTCTTCGGTCGTTTTCCGTGTATAATCTTAGTACATGGAGGAGAGTGCTTCTTTAAAACTTAATAACACCCTTAACTAGTCAAGAAAATCCGTGCCTTTTTATACATTCCGAAGGTTCATTATCGTGTTAACAAAACACCGCCATGTTGCCCTAAACTGAGCCATTTGTGTCCAATCTAGACCAATAAACCATATTTCCCCAAAGACCTGTCTTGAATTATCATCCCATTTGCTCCAATGTTTTTGAGTGGACTTTTTCTTTCAGGCTTCCAAACCAAAATTTTCCAAACATTTGTCGTCTCCCCCATTCGACCGTCCTAATAATATGCTGTGAAGACTATAAACTATATGCGTCACTTCATTCCTCCTAGGCCCAAAAATTATCCTAGTTACCCTATTCGCAAACACTGTCAACATGTGTTCTTCACTTAGCGTGAAAGATCACTTTTCGCATTCATAAAAATAACAGATCAAATAATAGTAGTTTATTTTAATCTTTATATTTTTTTGTATCGTGCAAGAAGACAAATTATTTTCGAACTAATCTGTTTTTAATTTCCTCGTGAATGTAATTCTGATTAATTAATGACGTTTCCAATATTGTAACTTTGCCACATTTTCAAGAAATTTATTAGACAGTTATTTTGTCCCGTAAACGGTCATAGTTTTCTACGATAATGCATACTTTAAAATTATAAGTTATCGTAATTGATTGCTTATGATATGTGCGAGATATTTTAATAACAAGAAACATCATAGGTTTATCTCAGTTTAGGATTGTTTGGATATAAAAGTAATTAATAAATGTATTCCTAAAACTTAAGTTTTTATCGACAGTGTGCTCTGTGCGTCTGATTAAGTTTCGAAGAAAATAACAAAGGAAGACAAGCGACCTACCTGTTTCCGTAACCAGACCGTGTTATGTACGTACCATGACAGTGTGCTCTTGTGCAAACGAAATTCTTATCTAACGTAATTGCCAATTTAGAGAGACATCAACAGATGAAGCCAATGAAAGTTCTTGAATTAACGAGTTTTTCTTGGAAGTTAAAATGTATTTTATTAAAGTCTTGTGTATAGTCACTATACGTTATAATATTCTAAATGTGTGGTCTATAAAGTTACTGTTAATAACGTATTTTATAAGTTCCTTCCACTTTCTCTGCATACTCGTTATTGAAATCGCGATAGCAGGCACTTCTGATTTTCAGGCAGTTACGTTGTTTGAAGTACTACATCTCGAACAGAGTGACAGTAAGCTGATTAGCTTAGCATAAATTAATTAGTCGAAGTAACTTAGAAGAAAGTAAAAGTCCATTTATTGTCGCTAAGAACCAGATGGGTTCTAAACATGATCTCACTGAAACAATGAAAGTGGAAAATAAATTACCATACACCCGGAATATTTAAAAAAGAATAAAAATGTACGTGCGTTAAAAAACATTGATCCGGAAGATGTCGAGATCAAAGAAGAATGAATCTGTTTGTAATTTGTTCATAGACGCTGGTCATAGTTCACGTTACATAGCGTCAAAAGATATGATGATTAATATATAGTGGCTTGGGAAAGGATGTGGAAGGAAGCAGTCGTGGCTTGAATGAAGGTACTGTCTGAGCATATGGCTAGGATGAAGGAGACAAGAAATAAATGCAGAATTTCGGTGGTAAATCACTTGATTTGAGGTTCTCGCGGCAGCGATTATAAAGATGGCTGTCTTCTGGTTGTTGCACCTTGTAGTCTGGTAGAATTTTACCGAAGTTACAAAAGTGTTTTCTGCCTCGATCATCAGAGCTGAGTCTACCACTGTCTTCAGATGACCTGTGGGAGTACAGAACTCTTCTTTCTTGGCCCCTTCTTCGAACCTGCCCCCAGATCCTTTCATGAATCAGATAATTCCATTTCATACTTTTACACCTACTTCTTCAAGATGGTTTTTATTTTTAACGTTCCATCTATCCCTGGATCTCCGAAGTTGTCTCCTTGCTTCAGGTTTTAAGACTAACATTTATATGTAATTCCTGTCTCCCCATGTTACAGCTATGTCATAGTCCTTGATTCGATCACCCTTATGGTATTTGATGAGTATAAATTATGACACTCTTCATTGTTTGACTTTCTCAATATTCGTATTTCTATCTCTCATTTCGGTAAAAATATTTACCTCAACACTTAATTTTAAACACCATTAAAACAGACTCAGTTTATTAATTTCTGAGAATGATTTAGGTTAAAAATAGTCTTTAGTAGCCAAAGGTCTTATTCCCCCACTGGTCACCTGACGACAGAATTGTATAACTTGCGAAACGTTATAGTTTAAATTGAAAACAATTTGGTTGTGGATTAAATCCAACAGAACAGTTTTACACATTGTATATCACATCGTCTTCACAAACATTTAAACACCTTCTAAGTTCATTGGTTATGTATTTCAGATAACGTACTCTGAGATTAAAAGTTGTATCAGCATTATAAAGAGATATTGTACCCCAGTTCAGGTGAATATATTCCGACAAGAAGTGATTAAATTTAACTTTTCAGGAAAAAAATATTTCCACATGTATATGTTGACTTTTAAAAACAAGCTTATTTTATTGTTTTAGTAAGGTCTATAAGTGCCTGAGTAACGCCACGCATTTACATAGTCCGTATTGTTTCTGATATTCTCGTTTTCTGTTGTAAAATATCCGATGTAATTTTCGTCGTTGATTTAATCGACTCAGTTAACTCTCGGATATGTTTTTACAAAGTTAATTGAAGAACTGTTTCAATCGCATGCAACAGAAGAGAAATCAAAATGTTTTCTTTTCTTTACCAGTAACGATTCCATTTCCCCCCCAAAGTTACTACATTTAAATGTACCAACAACTTTGAAATACTTTGAACTCAAAACGGAATCGCAGCTGTTGAAGAATAACGTTTTAATTCTCTTGTTACACTTAACTGAAATAGTTAATTAATTAACTAGGTGTAGATGGAAGATTAATATTCTAATGGAACTTAGATGGGGAAGTATGTACTGGATGAAGATGGATATCCTCTGGGTTGTTGCACCATGAAGTCTGATAACGGATGGAGGCAGCAAGGACCTCTGAAACGTCGGTTAACACGGTGCAACAACCCAGAAGACAGCCATCTTCAGAATCACCGCCTTGAAAACCTCAAATCCTACTGTGCACTTGATAAATGTGACTCAGGAAAGTGTCCACAGGCGGGCTCTTGTAGACACGATAATGAACCATTAGGTTCCATAAAAGACTAACACCGCGAACTAAGCTACTGTCAGCTTCTGAAGAAAGGTATTCCTTAGTCAATTATTGTATAGAATCCTGGTAAAATGGCTAGAGCAAAAACAAGTTGAGTTTCTAATATTAATTAACGCTGTGTACTCTCAGGGCGGTAGAAATTGTTTTCGACCAATTATGACCCTAACGGTGAACGTTATTGTTCTGTTAAAAATAACACACGGGACGCAACTAAGTCTTCCACTTCAAATACAACGCTTTATCTGAGTTGTCAAGTAACATTCATTAAAGTTCGTGAATTTGATTTTCTCATAATAGACACTTTCATTTTCACCTTTTTAATTGAGTTGGCCTTAAAATTTACCTTAGAATCATTGAATAATCGATTTAGTCTCTTTTGCAGTTGTTCTTGATCTGTTTTAGTACGAATGACTTTGAAGCTTGAATTATAAAACTTGCTTTAAACCAAATGCTGTATAGTGAGTAGCCATTATACTTCGTATTTAGGCTTTGCTGCTATCGAGTCTCGGGCCAGTAACCCCAGTAATTCTGA